TAGAAGGTACTTCTAATATTAAATTTTTATGTTTTCCTCAATTAATAAAAAATATTGTCGTCCGCTTAGCTGAAGTGCGTCTGATTCAGCGTAAATAAATTTCACCCTTTCGCTCTTCACTTTCAAATCGAGAGCCTGTTGAAATACACTTCAGTTTCTAAATTGATATTGAAGTATCATGTTTCAACGCATTTAATATGAAAATGAGTAGAAAATATGTCTAATTTTTTTCAGTTCTCTATCACTGCAGCTTCAGATGATGGAACATTTCTAAAAAACATATTATCATCTCTTACGTTCTCTTTGGAAAAAAATTTCCGGCAAACAATATATTTTTATACGGATGTTTCGGTCGTGGAAATTCAAAGCTGTGTAGGTTTAATGAGATAGAACTGGGCAATGCAGTTAGTCCGCGCTAACGTTCCGTTAAAGGTTATTTGGTTACATGACAAAGTAACATCATACCTTATTGTAACAATCGTGTTCCGGTTCAATCTAGGTAAGTTTTGTGAAATATAAGCGAGATTGTTAGTTTCTAAAATTATAAGTATCAAAAGGAGTCAAAGTGTCTGCGCAATAGTCACATAAAGTTTCAAAAGCAAAGCAATATTATATTAGATTTCATATAAACATTAATTTTTTACATTAATGTAAAAGAAAAATGCTACTAATTAGTGGGACTTGTTAATAGTTAGGGGTATACATGTAAAACCGAAAATACGGCACTCAAAAGTCGATGTTCATTTTGTGAGTAAGCTTTCCAGTTCGGTGCTGTCTAAAATTGAGAGCTTAAAAATAGTAGGGAATGCGTTACGTCGCATGTAGGTCAGTTAGGTCGCAATTCCAGGCGTCACAAAGGACTATCAGAATATGCAATTTGAAATTTCGACAGATTGCTTGACTCGTAAAGTTTACAACCGGAGATACTATGCAATCCTAACACAATCGATCGGATCACATAAGCATAGGTTTCGATAAAACATTCATACAAAAACATATCTCAGTTTTATACATACAATGGTATTTCGAGAATGAAATCAAACAGTGATATAATTTCATAATCGTAACATGTACCAATATGTAGTACTAGCAGTCGCCTGCGACTCTTTTCTATATCTATGCCAAATTTCAGCAAGATCCATGCAGCTGTTCTGGAGGTCCACTTAAACATTCCCGTTTATAATATAGTAAGAAGTAAGATATAAGCACGTTTTTCGCTATTAAGACTAAATTGCGTAATATAATACGTAAGAAGTAAAACATTTTTGATGAAATTTAATATTAAATAATTCTCTTTCAAGTATAAAAAACTAATTTATAAAAGCTTTCAGGTAAAAATTCAACATACTGGAGTATGAATTCCCCTGTGTAAACAGCCGTATTACGGATAATCCAAAGTTTTATTATCTGTGAAACGGGACCACATACGTGACTGAACGGTCATTGTCTCCCGCAATAAATACTAGCAGAATCGAGTGAAATTTATAATTTTAATGATGATAACAAATATTAAAAGCACAATGGAAATTATATTTTATCTCAAAAGTAATGTTTATGTTAAAGAAATAATGAGTTTGTATTCCTTTGAGCTTTGATAAATTTAGTCGGTATAAATAATGTGATGTGATTCATTTACATACTAGAATTTTCCAAGACTTGAGCTTCGAAAACATTGTTACAAAAACTGATCAAGTTTCTTAAAAAATATCTTCATATCTATGTAAAAAGAGTTTTAAATCGAAATTTCTTCATTAATTTTTTTTATAAGCAAATCCTTCGTAAATTCAAATAGTAAAAATCTTAAAATGTTTTTAGCTTTAAAATCTAAATATGGCATCAACTGCCAATAACCAAATTGTCGTTTTGTTTCACTTTGTATAAAAATGAAATCTGCGGATTTACACTTTTATATCCAACAATGAAATCTCAAATCTCCTTTTAAATCTCTCGAATTATACAAGTACAAGAAAAATCTTTTCCACGCTTCTTAATCCTTAAAGCATTGTATCTGCTGTTGTAATCTCCTACAAACTTTGAAGTAGTAACATAAACGAGTTTTATCGTATTGTCACTGTACACTGTTTTTTTTAAGTCTATTCTCGCTCGTTTTACTTAGGGCGTAAAGCTTCCGATGTGAATCTTCCGGTTTGGTACATAACAAAGTTATCGAACCCGGTTGGTATATGTCAAAGTAAAATATGTTTGCTCACTAACGCCCTCTTGTCGATGTCAAATATGAGTACCTTGTCCTTGTCGTACTGCAGCTGCATTATCACATTTTTTCTTGTATGTAATTTTCTACTCTTTTACAGGTTTTCTGAGAGAATTAATCGCGATAGCAACGCCTCTCTCAGTGGCCCAGAGAAACTTGTCGCACAATATACGTTCATAACATAAGGTTTGGTGGGATAACCATTAAAACTTTGGCATTTTCTAGTTTTCCCTTGTCATTGTTCTTAATTTTTTACACAATAATTTCCTTTATATAAATCGATATATTTAAGAAGTAAGAATTTTTAGGTACTACGTTTCTTGGAGAGGGACATTAGCTGGGGCGTTGGATTGATGACGTGATTACGCGCGCACTAAACCAAATGATTACGGCTGCAAACCACTTTGTCTCAAATGTCCTTAAGTACCTATTTATTTCAATCGTTTTTATTATTTATACGATAAATAAAACAAAATTTTCTAGCTCTCCAGTTCTAATTTCTAGTAAAAAAAGAATAATTAACTAACGTTACACAACACTTATTTCCTTGAAAATCAGTAAATTACTTTCATTGTACTGTACATTTTCAGCATTTTTATTTTACATTAAATATTTTTTTTGTCTTGACATACATACATCGATTTATGTTAACGCTTGCTTAGTATGGAAAAAATGTTTCTTGTGTAACTGGAAAATATTCGCTTAAGTTTATGTTATGTTTCCTACAACATTTTATTTCTAATACATTATTACAGAGGTTTTCTTTGGCTCCTCGCCAACCTATAATAGAATCAATTTTCCTACCTATTCAATAGAAATGGTCACATTATGTGATAAACGAATCAAAGGTATTTTAAAAATTGGAAACGCTAAACCAATAAGAAAAATTTCTTGCTTATTCTCTCTGTAAACTATCCCAGTTTTGATTCTATAGCTTTTATAAAAATGTTTTTATGAAAATTAAAACAAAAAGACATAAAAACAAAGTAGAGAGATAGGTATAAAATCTTTATATACATCGTAGGAAAGATAATTTAATTATAATTTAAGCTGTCTAGTGACGCTAAGCTCTTTTGATATCAGGCACAGAGTCAGATTAACATATTCATAATACATTAAATAACCTTAGACTGTACATAGATGGTAACTGAATTAATTTGTTTGAGCAACCTTCAATTTTAATTTGCATAAAAATAACTTTCTATGTACTATTTTATATTAACTAATGTAAATTGAAATTAGAAAGCTAAGAGCTAAAAGTATCCAACTGCAAGTAAATAAAGTTATCAAGAAGACACCTTTTATTATTAAAAACCAATATTGATTATAACCACAAAATATCGAAGCAAATAGATAATCTTACTATCTTACTAATTATAAATGTGAATGTTTAGGATGTATGTTTGAAAGTATCTCCAGAACGGCAGCATGGATCTCGCTGAAATTTGGCATATATGTAGAATAGAGTCTAGAAGAACACATAGGATACTTTAAGTTATTTAATTCCTTGTGGACAGAGTCGCGAGCGACAGCTAGTCACTAATGAAGAATTCATGAAGAATTGAAAATAAGTAAATCAGATTTCTTTTTAAAAGAGAAATACGTGACGAAATCGATAACAGCCATAAACAATCTAATAAATTCAATGTATTCAATCTCGTAGTGTCGAATTTGTCAAGAAGGATAACGTAATAAAAAATTATTGTACGGCCGTAAAACTGTCGGGGTTACTGTTTCGGAGTCCGTTTGTTGTCCTCACGTACTGCCTTTGAATAAATATTATAAATTTTTCACAATGCTTTATGGAAGAATTCCAAAAGCCAACTGTAATTTAAATTATGCAAACAAGACAAGTACATTACTAATTGTCTTACCATTAATAAAACATCGGATAGTCGCGAAGTTCTGAAGTCTATCACCCTAACCTTATTACAATGAAGTCATGTTTGTTCAAATAAGCTTCAGAGAAAAGTGTATTTAAGCAGTACTACATGGCTTAATTAAGATTTGGGTAAATACGATTGCAAAGGACAAGTAAAGTTACCCTTAAGGGATAACAAGAGACTGAGAGTTTGTCCTTTATCTATTATCTTTTATAAATAAAGAGACAAAGTAAGACAGATACAGTTTCACAGACAAAACAGTTATGAGAAAATTGTAATAAGATGTTACGAGGATTAATTTTACTTTCTTGTATAAGATTATATATTTTTATTAAATTATGTCCACGATTTCGTAAAGATTCATGGAGTTCTATCTTAACAACTAAGCTATATAAAACAGGAGTTTCCGTAAAACCAAGTTTTGGCACATCGCTTGAGCACGGAATAAAACATAGTCTCCAGTTAAAAACTTTTTAAATATGCTCATCAACATAGTTTCGGATAAAATATGAACTGGCTTTTTCAGTAGACTTAATTTTATGTGCGGATTTTTATTTTTTTATTATTTCAGGACCTGAAATATGCAGTGTTAATTCAAACTTAATGTAGAAAAAAGAAATAAAAGGATTAAAAAAAAAAGATTTATTGCTTTCCCCTATAAGAAAAAGTATATCTTAATTGCATATTTAAATATTTTGTTTATGAAAATCATAAAGATATTAATGTTTGCCCTTATCAATAATTGTAGTACTTTGACTTGAAAATCGTTCAATATCTTTCGAAATTGACCAAGCCGCGGCCTGGTAAACATACTTCTTAATGTAGCCATCAAATAGAGTTCTTTAAACGTAAAATTATGCGAACGGGTTAAGCGTGCACCGGCATAAAAAGAATAAAGGGGTTAAAGTATGAAAATATCTCCACAAATCCAGCAGGCATGAGGCTGGGGACTAGAGGGCGCGGTGGGCACACCCCGGGTGAGCGTTCAGTGCTCGCCCGGACATCGTCCCGGCTGGACGTCTGTTTACCCTTTGTTACCAACTCGTTCCGCACCAACTTCTTCGGAACAAACGGACAGTAAGAATGAACGGGTTCGTTGCTTTCAATGTCTGTTAATCGACAATGTGAAGTGTCTATTGTGTTTAAAAGCGATCCTTACAGTAAGTGTTTTGCGCCGGGAAAAGAAAATTACACTTTTACTGAAATGTTCAGGATTTTACTTACAGGTATATTCTTTTGGATTTTATTCATGTATTTTATTGCATTTACAATTTAGTACAATTACAGTTACAAAGAAAGCTCAACCGTACTAATAATAAGCTCAACGAAGTAACAATTAAATATTAGATATAAATGATTTGATTACCATCGAATTAGGTTACATATTTTGTTTTTTTTATTTCGGCATTAATTTTAAATTATATTTAACTTATAATTAATGTCATGAATAAAAAGAAAACTATATCCCTTCCCTCCCTTTTCTATAAGGAAGGCATGGGAAGGGGGCGTGAATTTGGCGTGAAAATACAATTTTCCTCGCATCGTATACCGCGAGGTTCCATCCAGCGTTGTGGAATGGTCTGTCCTCGGCGGTTTTTCCAAGCCGCTGCGACTTAGGGTCCTTCAACATGCGAGCGTATCACCATTTCAAAGGCTGGCAACGCATCTGCGGTTCCTCTGGTATTGCTGATGTCCATAGGCGTCGTTGAATCCCTCGGTGTTTTCGTTTGCCCCTTTATGTTATAAAAAAAAATCGTGTCCGCTGACTATTAAAGGTAGAAAACCATTTATAAATGTAGTTGTGTATGTGCAAGTCTCTTCGCTATTTTGGCGAATTAAGGTGGCCGCTTGCTCGTTTGCCACTTTCTGTTATAAATTTTATTACAGCACTAGCTGCCTTCCGCGACTCCGTCTATGCGGGATAGTAGAAAATAGATAATACCCGATTCTCAGACTTACTGAATATGTATATAAATTTCAACGGTCAAGCCGTTTCCGATGAGTATGGTTACAAACATTGTGACAAGAGATTTTTATACATGTATACATATACAGAGTTTGGCATAGAAGTTAATAAAATTAATGTTTTAAGGAGTTTTTTTGCTTCATTATAACTTTAAACATACTTCTGTAAAAATCGCAAATTTTTACCTCCTGTTTAAAATCAATAGTTCCTTACAAAAATCTTGAAATGTATAAATTTCCTGACAACATTTACATCGCAAATATACTACTACATACTTTATTATATTTCACATACTATCATCTATAAATATTTCACTTAGTTTCAATTTCTTCCATTTCAGTTTTATCTGTAAAATCAATTTGACGGCTATTTCTGTGTAATTCGTCTCACACATTTTTCTCGACCCTCTCGTTCGTCTCCGTATATCCGTTGATAAGTTAAAAAATAACTTGAAGATAACTTATATGATTTCGACGTCTCCTTTATTTGAAATGTAGCATTGGAAAAAAGATGTATTGGCTAAGTAAATATTGTTCACGGGGAACTTTTGATTAGGGTGTAGGTAAGATGGATTTTGTCGGATTTGTACAAAAGAAAAATGGCCGGTCGGCTTATACGTGATAGGCTTGGAAAATATCGCCGATGCCCGGAATTGAATCCACGAGATTTTTTTTCAAATTTTATTAAACATTGCCGGTTTTTATATAATATATTATATATCTAAGCGTTTCATTAATGTAAATGCTACTAGTAGATGCTGGGAACCTCAGAATTAATTAATTTTTATTACGTTTATCTTTTAGTCTTATTCCGAAGTACGACTCGCCATCGTTTTGTTGCTACTCGAATATTGCTCGAGAAATATTTTATTTGATGCTTTTATTAGTCGTGAAAGCGAAATGAAATAATGTTACTAATTTAAAACTGAGACTGACTTTATTATTTATATAAATCACTCCGGGGGAATCATGAATTGAACAATTTGGTCAATTTAGGTCCTCTGAGGTTTAAGGGTAAATTACGATGACCAGCGAGTTTAACAAAGCAACATACATCTGCTTCGTAGACTTCTCAAAGGCCTTTGACTCCGTAAAATGGCCTAGGCTCTGGACAACCCTACTAGAAATGGGCGCACCTAAACACCTTGTCCATCTGCTCAGGCGTCTGTATGAGGACGGGACTGCGTCGGTAAGAATAGACGACCAGTTATCAAGTAAATTTGACCTTGGCGCAGGCGTTCGTCAAGGATGTATTATATCTCCGCTGCTCTTTAATGTATACACAGAGCTAATAATGAGACGTACTCTTGAGACGTGGACCGACGGAATCACAATTGGAGGCCACAAACTATCTAACCTGCGCTACGCAGATGACACGACCCTTTTTGCATCTAGTGCGAGCCGTATGGAACAGCTTCTCAAAAAAATGGAGGAAGTTAGTCTCGAGTTTGGCCTGAAGATCAATCGCAACAAGACTAAAATAATGATTGTTGACCGTACGAATAATAACTCACCAGAAGTTACACAGGTCGCAAATTGTTCAGTTGTCCAATCATATATTTATCTAGGCGCGTTGATCTCGAACAGCGGCGGTTGTATAGACGAGATAAAGCGGCGAATGGCAATCACTAGGTCAGCGATGGAGAAATTGCAAAGAATATGGAGAAACCGCGACATTACAAAAGCGACTAAAACTCGGCTCGTACGATCGCTTGTATTCTCCATATTCCTTTATGCGTCCGAAACGTGGACCCTACGAGAGAGTGAGAAAAAGAAGATAGACGCGCTCGAGATGTGGTGCTGGAGAAGAATGCTGAAAATACCTTGGACCGCATTCCGGACAAACAAGTCAATCCTCGAAGAACTCGGCATCAAGCAGCGTCTGTCATGCATTGTTCGGGTTCGCATACTCACTTTTTTTGGTCACGTCTGTAGACGTGATGACGAATCCATCGAGCGCTTGGTGGTGCAGGGGAAAGTTGAGGGCAATAGACCACGAGGAAGATCGCCTATGAGGTGGACCGACCAAATCAGAGCGGCTGTGGATGTCCCCCTGCACCAATGTACAAAAAAGGCAGCGACTAGGGAGGAGTGGCGGCGCCTGGTAAAGCGGGTCACTGATACGTGATGACCACGACCAGTCTGACAAGACTGCAACGACAAAGAAGAAGACGATGACCAGAATTGTTGGAGGATTCACGAGTTAATTATGCTACGTACATCACATGAATTTTGTATTTACTATTACTATGTCTTGTTGCATTGGAACTTCCTATAACAATTTATATACTCGACAGTGTAAGCAATTTCTAGCAAGCGCATTAAAAACTCTATTTAATGTTAAAAAATTTTTACATTGTTCATACATTGTCTAGTCCATTAGAATTTCAATTAGCAAAGTACATATGAAAAATACAAGAGATGCATTATAAATAGCATAGTTTCATATTTGCTATCTTTATTCGTATCTCAACAAAATATATAATAAATATACTATACATACATATATTCGATGTTAATACATACATCGTGGCAGAATAGCTATTTACATTACAGCATGAGTTGCCATGTACTCGTAACCTCACTTTATCGTTGCATTTTTTTTTCAATTTACTTAAAACTTTTCAAAACTCTGTTACATTTACTTCAAAACAAAATGTCTATTAATTTTGAGAATCAAACGAGTTAATAAGTGCTATTGTTTAATAATTATTTTTATCTTGTAAAACAAATATAGAATAAGGATTTTAATGTTTCCATTTAATTTACATTATTATAAAATTGATAGGTCCTTACTGTTATGGTTTCTTTGCCTCCACCAAACAAAAACCGTAGCAATAAAAGAGAAATATATTAAAGCTGTGTGTGAATTGTAGTCTTACAAACGATAAGATCGGTCAGTGGCGAGGAAACTGGAAAGGTCAGAGGGTGGCAAGAAGATTAGGTATGCAGGACGCTACCGGAAAGATAAATCTTACAGTAAACTACACTGAATATAGGAGGGCCACGCTAAAGAAGCCGGATTATTTACTCAAACATCTTTGGTGGATTTGAGTATCGTTTTCTCATAAATTGTACCATGTTTATGTCAAAAGGGGTAAACTAATAAATCGTTATACATATCTTGGTGTCAGACGATTGATGTTAATTTTTATGTCCGTGAGGTTTATGTCAGTTTTTAAATATCGCTCGCCTTAAACTGTAATTCGTTTTTGCATAAACTAATTAATAAAAATTTAGTAGTAGAGCTATCTACTTGTCATTGTATTGTGGTCAAAATTGCTGTGTTATATTGTTATATTGAAAACTCCATGAAGGATTAGAACCCTAGTCTCGCGAGGTATTTCATTTTATGTCTCAAGGTTGATATTGAAATTTGAAATTCCAAGAAGCCTGCATTGTTTACCGTTCACTTACGATCGAGTCAACGATACGTCTATTCACTTAATAATTTGAGTTTCATACTTCTTCAAATATAAGGCCTTTTATTAAAAGTCTACTAAGATTAAACTTATACAGTCATAATATCGTCTACAATTATAGTAATTTAATAGCTACATTGTTTCCCACTCCCTTAGTTACTATTTGACTCTGAGTGTAACAGAGTTACAGTGTCGAAAGCTTACAAAAAAAAATTACAAACTAGCTTTTGTCCACAACTCGTCGGCGGGGAATTAAAGAAAAATATTGCTAGCAATAAAAAAAACCCTCTGTTACTCAGTGACATTGTAGCTTTTTAATCGCAAATTATTGAATTGGTGAAGTAGTTTTTGCGTTAATTCGTTATAAACAAAAATAATTATCTTCTCTTTGTATAATATTACCTAAGATGTAGATAACAATGACATAAAATGTAACGTAACGTAATAGGTACTAGACGAGTCATTTAATTTTTCATTAAGTAGAGGATAAAATTAATATTAGCTGCGTCAGATTACGGCCTCGCTAATTTTATACTTCATCGGGCACGCGAGTTATACGAAAATTTTATAAATTATTATGATCACGAAATTCGATATGACATTTGAAGATAATCTAATTAAAAGAAGTAATAATCGAAAGTATTATTTAAATAATTCTCATCATTACCACCAAGTATGGATCATTTTTTTTTGTATTTTTTTTTATATTTTTATTTAATTGATTTGTTTTTTCCATGCTTATAACTGTAAAGTCGTACATTCTTTAATAATACTCAAAAAAAAGTGTTTCTGCTTCATGTAGTTCACAAAAAACTTTTAGCAAAACGATTGCAATACTACACGAAAAGTCTTGTCGTAAACAACATTTCGTACGTTTAGCATTAGCTGCACGTACACGAATGAAGGTTATTTATCTTTTCACTAATTCCATAGAACAGTAATTAACTACTTTTGCATGAAAAAACTGTTTCTTGTAAATATTTAAAAACCTCTATCTATTGTGAAGATTTCTAAGTAGTTGAAAAACTAAAGAACATTTTTTTTATGTTAAATATTTGGATTTGTGAAACTATAATACTATATAAAAAATGTACACACTAAACTCGATACGATATGATCGTAAATTTACCAAAATGCCGATCACCATGCAGAGAATATAATTTAAGAAAGTACTGGAACATTTAGAAAGCCTAAAAAAACAGAACTCACGAACCACACATATCCGTCTCTTATGATAATTTTGGGGAACTTTTACAGAAAAATATAACAAAGTATCTTTTATTGTTCCTTTTATTTCGTATCGGAAATTCTGTTAACGAGAATTGATTTTACGAATTGGTCATGTGAGTTGAATAATAAACAAAAGTAATATCTGTATTATAACGAAAGAATTTTGGACCGTGCCCAAATGGCACATTACATTAATCAATGGATCTTTTGATTATTCTTAGAACTAATTATGTATTCTTGTTTCAGATTTATTCGGATTTTAGATGTAAACGATTGAAGGATTACGAAAAGTAAAGCACATTTACTTCTTACAAGATGGTAATAATCATCAGTAAGTAAACGCGTTTCTTTAAATTAATTTGTAATTGAAATAAGAGAGACAATCATTCACATGGTTGGGGCATAACGGAGTACTAAACTAATTTCACCAATATCTAAGATATTCTCTGTTAATCGGGAAAAAAATATACAAGATGAAACTCCGAGTAGATAACTTATATTTTCTTATATTAAGCGACTGTTGCTACTTATTAACATGTGTTACCAACAATTGTATATAAAAGAAAAAGTTGTGTATTGACTAAAAAGAAAGGGTCATTGATCTCATTCAAGTTCTATGTGTTATTCACCAGGTCGAATATGTGTGCGTTCGGGTGTGTTGGTGCTCGCGGTGGCAGGCGGCGTCTCGGCGCGTGTCGCCGGCAAAATGGGTGGCTACTCCAACAAGATGGGAGGTAATTTGAGCAATGCAATCACAGTACACTCAAACACATAGTTTATATAATATGGAAAGAAAAATTTAAAGGTCATATACAATATGTATATTCGTCATCGTCGACTTAAATACGTTCCAACCGAAAATTCTGAAATTACCCTTAATTTAGGGTTCTATTAGTTTAGGGGTCTAAACGTTACTGAATAGTATTCAGTATTTTCCCTTCCAGTAAAGATTTGTAGTCAAAAGATGATATTTGCTGGAGTAATTATTTTGCCTTTATATTCATAACAAACTAATCTACTCAAGGAATAACTTTGATGACATTACTAGTTTCACCCTAGAAGCTGAAATTCAAAGATTCCAAATTGAATTACCTACGCATAAAATAATATGATAAAGACGAAACTTCATTGCAGGGAAATCAACGAGCGGCATCAACGAAGAAATAATATGGATAAGCATAAGCATGGCAATAGCGATAGCGGTGCTGATAGCGATCGCGTTGTGTTATATCCTGAAGGAGAAGTGCACCAAGCGACAGTCCTACAGGGAGCAATCATGACGATACAAGCAGGAGTTCGCGCGGCACGCCCTCGCGGATTCCCTCTCAGAGTTCGAGTTCCCCTCCTATACGCTCTACCCACAGTACTCGCCCGACGGCACTGAATACTTCTACAACTTCCATCGATTCTCATATTTAAAAGACAGTTTTAAACTACCCCCAAAGGATTATCCAAAGGAATATCCAATTAATTCTATACAAATAAATGACGATATTTACATAAATGCGTGATTGAAAGACGTGTGTCTCGCTTGAGGACGATGTTCATTATGACGAATTTACGCGACTAAAGTGTCGTACTGTACCAAGCATTAATGATAACTGTACTTTAGAGATGTAATCTAATTTATTATATGGAAAATGTCTGTAAAATGTATAAAATTAATCGGAATTGAATATGTGGTGTTAGATGTAAGAATAACCTTATTTTAATTTACCTATTGTCATAATCATTTGTTTATCATCTCAATAACCTCAATGTCGTACATCATTCTGTGACTGTGATAAAAAATACGGCTAATACTCCTTCCATACGATGTTAAAGATCATAAATATATAAAAAGTCGTCTAAATTTCCCTCTAATACGGTAGCAAAATTGTAATGTCCAATCTTTTTTATACCCGCTTTTATCATTCAATAAAGTTGTTTGTCCAGTCTAGAATTACGACCCATGTGAGTCGTTCCCAATTATTTTATACACCAAAACAAACTTATCAAAACATTATTTATGAATAGAGCCAACTAACGATATAAAACGTACACGTTTTATGAATAAAACACATAAAAGGAGCTTATTCCTTTGACTAATATCATACGTATCTTTTCAGTCGAAACATACCCTAAATTAGATATTAAATAAAAAGAACTAAGTTATAAAAGTGTCGTAAATATGTATTTTTATCCATCGTGATCAATTGGTATATTATATTATATAATATTATGATTGTAAAATAACTTGTAAATAGCCATTCTCGTAATAAATGTTAGATAAAATCTAATAATATCGTCTTTTATTTGTAGTATTTATTTACAGATCCTGTACATATGTGGTATTAAAATGTTATAGTTATTTTGTTTGAGACTTCTAACATTTATTAAAGTTACATTTATAAATAAATGCTTCGTGCAAGTGATCTTAGTTGACTCTTACAAGGGTATAAAAGACTCAAGTACTTTTAATAAAAAGTCTTTTGAACCACTCTACTTGAATATAAGTTTTACATTACGAGAATTACTTGTGTAGCTAAGAAGCGCAAAAAGGGAACATCAGTTACAAACATTGAATACCCGACCGTCCTCACTCGATAAATGAAAAGGACTTGGCTCCATAAAAGTGAATTGCTGAGAAACATCCAGTTACGGCCAAGACATTTAGTTTTTGACAAAGGAATTTGGATCAAAAGGATAAAGCTGTATGTTATGACCTATACCTTTTTTGTTCGCGATGAAACAGAATAGGCTGAAGCAAAAAAATGTGCAATTGCTTTTTTACTTAACGCTAAAAATGTAATGTCACGGAATCGATATTTCTCTCCGACTATCTATGAAATATTAAGTAAGGAAAAAACGAAAGTATCATTACAAACTCTAATACAAGTGTAAAAAATATCATAATAATTGTTACACAAAATATTAGAGTTATTTACCAAAACAACTTGTCCATATAAACATCGTATAGTTTTCTATCTCTACGTTCCTCAAGTGCGTTAAAAGTCTACGAATTACGATTTGGAATGACATCTTACTTTTAATAATATTCCCCGGTGTACGAGTTTTTTGCATTTATTTTCAGGTGTGCAAATGATAAATTTAAATTTCAAATTCGAGTTTCCCAACTTGTTCTCACGATTTCCTTACGTGCATTTGACAAATGCGATTCATAACATTTTTTAAAATATGCATAGAATAATTTCAAACACGCAAACCCTCACACGGGCCTGCTAAAATATTAAATGACAATATATATACAGTATATATGTTTGCACATAACCTGAAAGTTTTTCAATAATTGTAAAACAACCATGTGCGTTTTACATCATATCAAAGTGTTAAAACGCTTGTTATTTAACGTTTAAAAACTTTGATATGATTGATGATATTTATAAAACTAAGTTACTAAAACTATTTCTTCTTAATAAACAATACTGAAATTACGCATATTATAATTATTAATTATTATTGTTACGGCCTCCTCTTGTCTTTAATATTGATTCTTGTTCAAACAATTTGACACGTTGTTAACAACGATCGCAAATTGGTAAATTATCCGCGAGTTAAGTTTTAAGTAGGTCGTTATAGATACGACAATGTTAGCACATATTGAGCTTAATTACAATACGATATCACAATACACGTATTAATAAAGCAATATGTATCTACTGAGAATGATATTGTCTTATGTATTCATGTTATACAATGCTATTGATTTGATTGATCGGATTAGCAAACTATACATTCATGTCGTTATTATGAATACTATTATAATTTATAATTCCACTTTCAAATTTATGATATACAGTTATTATTCTAATTCCGTTATTTTAATACAATATTTGACTATTTACAACTTTTAGTACAATGAAGAAAAGTAATTTGTTTAACAGATAAACTTAGCCCAGATGTCTATAAGCACCGGTAACTTCGTTATTTGAGGTTATCAGGTTGCTGTTAGCTTTTATAAAAATTGTAATACATTTTGTACCATAAAACACTATAATATTGTATATCAAAATTGCCTGTTTTGTTTCGATGTATTAAATAAAGACCAATTTTCTTTATAAGTAACGATACTAAAAGTAATTACATAGGATGGCTTCTGTTTCACAATTTGTAGGACCAAAGCAATTTGTTCCAGTAGCGTAATTTAATCCGAGCCTTGCTTACCGCCGCGGAGGCTTTTAACAGCCCATTCTCTTTGCTAGATTCTACCTTTACATTCGCACAAGTAGTAAAATTTTACACCCTAAACAGGACTTTCCGAACATTTCTTCCTACATTTTTACAAACGATTATTTAATCTTACATATATTATAAATGCAAATGTTTGGATGTATGAATGGATGGATAGATGTTTGTTTGTAGGTATCTCCAGAACGGCTGAACGGATCTCGATAAAATTTGGCGAAGATGTAGATAAAGTTATTTTAACTCCGCGGGCAATAGCTATTACTGTGTAAGCCGTTTAAATCTTCTATTCAGTTTTACCTTAGCTCTCGAAGTGTTCTTTTTTATTTATTCAATTTAAAGAATATTATTCATAAAATAAATAAAAGTCTAATCACAAAATTTTGCTATACCTTTTATATATCATAACACATTATGCAGTCAGAAAGTCCTTTGTCAAAACTATTATAGTAGTAAAACATAGCAAGTGTACAGGAAGTTGTGATGACGGTAGCCCGGTATTGTACCGCAACTAGGTCAGGCGATGCGCTTCCGGAAATGTTAAGCTTATTGATTGCAACGCGCACATCAATACAAACTAATTTCTAAATGTTGTATGACTTACTGTTACATTATCTACATACGTGCCTTATGTGACTTATAAAAAGATTACCCTAAGAGAAGTTAAGTCCTTTTTTATTTCCAATTTTCTATAAAATACTCTTTAGTTATAACTCGTTCAGAAATAAATTAAAGACGACCTAGCCTAATTAAATTACTTATTAAATTTTCGAAAAATTCCATAACAGATTTTAAAGTTTCCGACTAACAAACTACAAAACAATTTTGTACTTTCAACTTCATTAAAATTTCATAAGATACGATTACATTTGCTTAAGATTGCTAAACACTTTAATTACAAAGATTTTCCCATATATTAATAGAATTTAAACTCGTCCCAGCAATCAACCCTCATCATTTTAATAACATCTGGGAAATAAAACGTGATTAGAATTGAAATCCCGATGGACGTAGCTATCTCATAACTTCAACCATTAAACATTGGCCACGTTCATTACATACTAATTATTACAAATGTTGAGAGCGTCTTCACGTTGACAAATAGTAGAACCGTTTTTTGCAATTTCATTAATTTTTTACTTTCGCGGAATTCAAATAAAGAAAGATTTAATTACGTCTAGAATGGTCTGGCCCTACGGGATCAGGGTAACAAAAATAATAAAGAAAATAGTATATAGATCATCATTAGATTAGCCTGCTTATTTTCTTAATAGGATATAAATGATGGTATAATATAACATTTAGGGCAAGAATTACCTACCTGTAATCGTAGAGTGTTCTACAAAGTTCGTAGCACTTACCTGAAAAAGAAAAGAAAATAGAACAATTACAATTTTATTGTCATATTTCATAAATGGGACAGTATTTTTTCAGTTACATTTTTTAATCTATTTGTTTTTTCTGTATACAATGAAGAATGGATGCAACAACTACCACGATTGTAAGTGCAAGTGTCATTTACAGCAATTGATGTTCTCCAAACAATAAACTAGAGTGCTGCATTGTTAACTATGATAATTATTTGAACTACATTGTGTTAAGTTAGCCGAGTTTTTATTTCATTCTATATGAAAACTGGCTTCTATTTGTTGAATTGCGTCTTCGAGTATCAAGACAATTAAAGAATCGAAACTTACACAGGTTCTCTTAATTGGTTTAGAACTTCAAAGAAATCGTTAAAGACAAACAAGTTTTCGTTTTTCTTGCCACTTGCATTTTGAACAAAATAAAGTAAAATTCAGTCTTAAAAACTTTTGTTATTTGAAACTCACAAATCCACAAAAAAGACAACAAAAGTACGGCACAAGATAAAATAAAATTGAAAACAATTCGTATAACTTTACAAGTGTTTAGACGAACTGAAACTACATATAAATCAAAGAGAATTTACGACAATAAAATAATTTTGAACCAATTAATGGTAGATCGGTGCAAGAGCGTAATTTCCCGGTATCTGGGTCAGGTTGGGAAGGTTAACGCAATTTGTTCGGTACTTCATATACGTATGTACTTGGAAATATAGTTTTTATTTTATTTTAATTTTTCTTATGTTTGCAAACACGTATAACTTGTAGCCTACTATTTTAATTGTTAGATAAAGCATGTTTTGCGATAGTTTATAACAAAACCTAGATACAGACTTTGAAATCAAAATGTTACATCTTCTTTAAATCTATAATACTAATCCGTTATCGTTTTCCTTTGTGTTTCCTATCCATTTTTATTCGTTGATAGTGTTTGTAAGATCTTGCAACCACTCGGACTCAACTCGAAACTACGACTTAACAATATGAAAGGAAATTTTCAAATGACTGAAATTCCATTGTGTTCTTTTAAAACTCGTTGCAAAAATACTGGTTTCATTCGCAGATCTCTGGTATCCGTGACAGTATTTAACGGCAGCCGGTTCAATTTCCGCTTTAATGGATCGTGCTATTAACCGAACTACCGACTATATTAACGAAGAACGAACATTTGACTATCATTAAGAGGGTTTTAAACGAACGCATTTCGAGTAAATTGTATTGAACAAAGTTAAATATCAAATCTATAGAAAAAAATAAATTTCATTGACTTTTATTTCCTACATAGACTATAATAGTTAACTCTTTATTACCTCTGTACGTTACTATTTTTTTTTTATTAAAATACGTCAATCCAAAAGGTTCCAAAAGTCTAGTAAGTAAGATAAGGTTCTTTTTACAAATATTTTCTTCCTCCCTATTATCTCTATCCGAGAGAGTTAATCTCGCAGTATTAAATTAAAACGCTAAACCTTATCTTAATTAGTTAAAGAGGTTGATATTTCAGCTGAACCTTTAGTACCACTATACTTTTGTCGTGTTGTGATAACATGGTGAAAATAAATA